GCTTTGGACAACTTTTAGCCTGTTTCTAGTAGTACATAGACGTTTATAGGATGGGATGTTTAGAGTTTGTGCTACGTTATATTGCTAGAAATAAGAGTAAAATTGGGATGATGACAGGGCATGAAAATTAAAAATATAATTAGTCCGTAAATAAGGTAGTGAAAAAATATAAGACACGTATTTTTTATTTTGTCGTATAATAAAACAATACTTAGATAAAACGAATCAAAATTTAGGAGTGAGGCTTAAACGTCATTTCTGCGTTTATACATAGAAGTGACGTCACGCGACATTTCAAATCAATATATCGTCGAAAGTATTCGTTTCTGTAAGAAAATAAAAAACCGTGTCTAATGATTTAAAATAATCTACCAGACGGACATTAAAATAAAAATTAGGCATCTACCCTATTGAGTAGCGTAGTAAGTTGCGATTAACTCAAGAACTTTGATTAAATAAATAGTATGAAATTGATTTTGACTTTACTGTTTATTTTTCAGCGATAAAGTACATAGTGATATGTTTTTTTTCTTTAACTGTAACAAATCTATACATAAAATAAAACTGTAGAAGTTTAAATTCTGTACATTAAATATATAAAAAAATATATACTAGGGGGTGTTACTAAATAGACACCGAACCCAAAAAAGTGATAAAAAGTAAGATTTGTGTGTATGTTTGCTACCCAATCACATCAAAACGGCTGAAGGGACTGCGATGAAATTTGGTACTAAGGTATATAGGAGAAGGTCGATTATAACCTGGAGGGATACATAGTCTATTTTACCCCTGAAAACACAGATGAAGCCACTGACAAAAGCTAGTTATGTAATAAAAGTTTGTAAGCTTATTCCGGTGATTTTAAACTGAAAATATAGTAATCATTTAAGCGTGGGAGAGTCATGCTTCGGCACGAATGGGCCGGCTAGACCGGAGTGATACCACGGCCTCACAAAAAACCTACGTGAAACAACGCTTGCGTTGTATTTCGTCGTGTGAGTGAGGTAACCGGAGGCCCAATTACCCCCCTCCTCAGTCTCCCGAATCCCCGAATCTTCTACAATCCTCAAATCCCAATTACCAAAAGGCCGGTAACGCACAAACTTGTAACGCCTTGGTGTTCCAGGTATCCATGAGCGACGGCGACTGCTTACCATCAGGTGATCCGTCTGTTCGTTTACCGGCTTATGTCATAAAAAAAAATCAATTCTAATCAATCATAGAACTACCAATACTTCAGAATCAAGTCTATACATAAAAAAAGCTTATAAAGTAGCTTTATAAGACTCATTGTTCAACGGAACCTTTCGATCTTTAAGATGTTTGCAATGACTTAGTATGCCAAACATCGTGTTAACAAAAGTAGCAAGTTCGACACGAGTGTACGAGTTTTTCTTGTAATTGGGTGCGGTTAGAGAATCGGAAAGTTGCTTGACACAGATCCCGTGGTACTGGATACATACAAATGTATGTTACTTGGAAAAGAACGTGTGAGGAGGTATTAGGAGTCTGTTAACTGCTAGTTCGCTGGGCACATATTTCAATGAGTGCGATGCAGATTTTGACTAAAATGTTGCAGTTTGCAAACTCTTCCCATACGTAAAGTTGCTCCAGTTAAGTCTTGCAGATAAAGACGAGATTTGCACGCTTATGAGAATAATAGCGAGAGATCGCAGCTACGCGCTACAAACTATCTGCTACGAACTATGGACTACGAACGTCGTGCTAAGAATAATTGCACGGTTGGCGCGGTGGCTGGGCAACTGGCTCCTGCGCAATGGTCGCGGGTTCGATTCCCGCATGGAACAATTCTTAGTGTGAACCACAGATTGTTGCTCCGGGTCTGGGTGTCCATACAGCAGAAAATCCTAATGTAAAATAGGCTCTGATTTCTATTCTACTAATTATAATATATGGTCCCGTCTTGGCAACATTTTACATGAAAATGTGTTTTATGATATTCAATTTACATATCACAATAACATACTTACATGTTCATTCAGTCAATCTATTTTGGTATTTTGGAGTTTTCCTCGTAGGTAATTGGCCGGTTGCGAGTTAAGTGCCCCAGGTACTCGACAGAGGGCGCACAATACGTGTACGTATGTGGGGCCCATTGACATGTAGGACATAATGGGTAACGCTACCTACGTCATACGAATTTTCCTCAGTCAAAATTTTATTTGAAACCGAAGTAACCGAGGTGAAATAATGTAGAATTTTTGTGAGTATTATTTCCATTTTTAGACAATTCTATTGAACAAATATATTGGAATTTTTGCTATCAGTATTTCACTGATAGAAAAATATCTCGCACCTAACAAACAAAATGACTATTTTCTAGATTTTTGATATCCTTCGACCACAAAAACACTAACAATACATAAAACAAAATGAATGTACTTTATATTTATAATACATTTTTACCCGACTGCCAAAGAAGGAGGGTAATGTTTTTATAGTATGTATTCGATAAACATGATGTGGCGATACATGGTACATGTCAACGGGTGACGTCACAAAAATCCTACATCGCACATGCAAATGACCACGGATAGAAAATCCCAACGAACAACTGTTGGCCAGAAAGCCCGCCAGGCACGATCACCTCTCCTGGTCGGAGTATCTTCCTTTTCCGATCTTAGGGAACTATACCTACTCTCTGTTCCCTAAAATTAATTACCTATTATCTACCACTATTTTTGTCTGTAACCACTATTTACGATTGTCTATTTGGACACTATTTATCAAGTAATACTATACATAGGTATACCAAACGAGTAGGTATCGACCATTTATAGGCAGTAGGTACCGTGTATTACGTACTACAATTATAGGTAGCTACATAATATCATCTAATTTGCCCCACTCCGGAGCGAACAATCACAATACCGACGTAGATTGTCAATTGTTCACCGACTCAAGCATCGAACATTAATTTACGCCCAACCTGTCAAGCAACCATCAGTCCCCTAGACAATAACGAGTGTCTATTAATTAGGAATACCTAGAATTCAGCCTAGATTCTGGCATGCAGTGGTCCAGAACAGTTCGTTACATCAATCAGAGGAATATCTAGAAAATTTGGGACATGTTCTTTTGACTGACTTTTTGCGAAATATGTCAGTTATTTTGTGGTGTCGTGGTATGCAGCTGATTACTTTTTAATAAACAGAATGTCTTGTTTGATGGCTTGATTATTATTTTGCGATGTGATTATTGCCTCGT